TGGCCTGGGGGCGGGGCCTGGGTCGGGGGCGGGGGCGGGGCGCGCGGGGCTCGACAGTTGCGCGCGACGATCCGCGCGATGTTGGCGTTTAGTAGTCTCTTCTATGCGCTCTCCTTCCTCGCATTCTACTTCTTGAGTCTACCGTAGGAAATTGCTATATTATTCGAGTGCCATAACAATTAATGTTAAGCGTTCTTATCCAATTATATGTATGTTAGCATATAGTAATGAGCATAATAAAATAAAGTCTGGCTCATATTACAACATGTAGGTACCTACATAATTATGTGTACTGGTAAAGTATGACCTGATTGCTATGTAATAATTTGCTTGGTAAGAAGTAAATTACTGCTACCTCTAAGTTGTTAATTTTTTAAAATCGTAATTTTATGCTACTTACTTATATAAAACTTGTTATATGTTATTATTATTATTAACATTCAATAAAATATAAGGTTTGTAAAATCTATGTCTTATTTCAAGATTATTTTTCCTTTATTATTAGAATAAGCTAATTCGCTAAGTAGTGGCAAACATAGTTTTGGAGTATAACTTTTATATACAACTAGCTGTTGCCCGCGACTTCGTCCGCGGAGATTAATGACTTCTGACAGAATTCATCAGAATCAATTTAGTGCCTATTGTGAAATGATTTATCGTAGTTTCAATAAATAAATAATCCCGCAGGGATCTTACCAGTACAGTGTCCGATCACGTAAGGTTTGAGTAACAAAAACTATTCTATCGACTATTGTTGTACCGAATCTCTCTAAAATAAGTTCAGTGGTTAAGAGGTAAAGTCGTTTCCGTTCTCGTGGGACTTCTGTGATTTAGAGATGGGATTTTACCCGGAAAAAACCCGAATACGGGAAAAAACCGGGAAAAAACCCGGGGAAAATTCCCGAATGGGAAAATATTCGGGTTTTTTCATATTTAACACATGTAACAAATAAGTAATGTGTAGATTATGTACATGTCATATAGTACGTACTATTTAAGAACTATTACTACAAGTTAGAGCTAATCTAACTTTGTTTATGTTCATATTGCAGTAATAACGTTCTTAATATTCTTAGGGACCTACTATCAAATGAAAGAAAATGAAATTAAACAAAAATCCTGTCTGTTTGTGTGTGATCATCCGCTCTTAGCGACAGGTAACCCGAAAATACGTGAGCGGGTAGAGGGGCAGGGAAGCAGGCAGAAGAGGGGCGAGCGCGTTGGTGATCTATCTCACACGTTGTTTCGGCTTCATACTGTGCGCACTCGTGTTAATTTGTTGGTTTAATTGACGACTTGGATTTTGTTTGGTGGACTTTTGGTTCCCTAATCCTTTGAATTGACAACAACTGCTACTCTTACGGACTTTGATACCTACTTTTTTTACGAACGATTTACCGGTAAATTTACCGTTTTGTAACTTTTGTAAAGTATAATAAATGATTGTTAGTAAGAGTATCTCTCGTTGTTTTAATTATATTATTTTAGTCAAACATTCTTTAAAGTTTAATAGGTATTTTTTCTGCTGTTAACATTTCATCACAGAGCGCAGAAAAAACTTATTATAAAACAAAAAGACGTCTTTATGGTGTTATAATAAATATGCTGGTTATGTTTTAGTCCTTGAAAAAGACTACACGTTTCAAATAACAGACAACAGCTAGTGCCTTATACACGCTGGTGCTAAGTACTACTCTGTCAAGAAAGTACCGGTTTTTTGAGTGAATGTAGGTATATATGCATCACAAAATACCTATTAATTTAGTTCTGAAAATAAAAGTAGAATAAGATCATTATAAATGAAAATACCCGCCTATTGGGTTTTTTCCCACATAAAAACCGGGTTTTTTCCCTTATATGTATAGATAGACACAATTATAGAACAATAGGTTGCGGTCACCGGTGACCGCTTGGTGTTTGACAGTTTAACTAGAAATTGTCTAAGTGGCGCTGGCGAGTGGCGAAATCGATTCAATATAAATCGATAAATGTCGATATCGAATCGATAAGTTTACCGAAAAATACTACGACTTTAATACAATGAAGTTAGCAGAAATAAAGTATTTTCGTGTACTATATTATTCTTATAAAGTATAGAGTACAATTACCTTAAATAACGTACAAATTAATCTTTATTACAAAGTACGGGTGGCAACCCTACCTATGACCTCTGCGGCTTGCTTTGACAGCGAGCGACAGAAGTTGCCGCCAAACGTTACCGCGGTGCACGTGCCTACCCTTTTACCCCGCCTACCGCCGCGGCCGCCCCCTGGCGCCCCCGCGAATCACTTATCTAGTTTTCTACTTTCTTAGTCAATAGTCTCCCGCGCAAGGCGCAACTTACTTTCGATCGGATGCAATTGTTGCCGATGCAAACCTACGGACTAACTTGTGTTTTGTTTACGTAAATGTTCGTGGCCGTCATGCAATACGTATGTGATTGACTCGGTGACTTTGTTTTTTATATGTAAAGTGTTAAATGTAGGTACCTAGTGTAAATAACTATCAAAAACATTACGACCGGAACAAACGCGCGATAATGATGATTTGTGCATAAAAATTCTGTGTTAACCAACATTTTCAAAGATTAATTCGTTAAAGTGATTGGCGGGAACGTTCTACTCGTATGTCTAGTCTTCATCTTCATGCAGTATTGCAGACGTAAGAAGTTATTTAAACAATACAAATATTAATAATTAAATATTACATTTAATTATTTTTTTTGAACAACTTTTATAAATTACTTGCTTTATTACGTCCGTATCTGATTCTTAAAACGTAGGTAGAAGGAACAACAGAGTCTTTGTTACATATTGTAGGTATAATTCAAAGGTGACTGACTGATTGACTGACTGACATGTGATCTATCAACGCACAACGTACGCCAGACCACTAGACGGATCGGGTTTGGCATGTAGGTAGATATTAGAGGTATTATGACGTAGGCATCCGCTAAGAAAGGATTTTAATCATTTCCTCCCCCAAGGGGCTAAAATAGGGGATGAAAGTTTTTATGGATCTTTGTCAGTTTTACACCGATCGAGTTGACATTCGGCAAGCAGGTAGATGTTATCTCTTAGGAGAGGGTTTTTTTATATGGAATAGGAGGCAAACGAGCAGACGGATCACCTGATGGTAAGCGATCAGCTCCGCTCATGGACACCCGCAACACCAGGGCCCTATCCAATAAAGCTGACAATCCGACAAGTCCGACATATGTCAAAAAGTGACAACTCGACAATTTTTCTGTTTAATAAAACTTACAAGCGACAAACTTGTCATGGTGGAAAATTCACAAATATGTCTTTTTTTTTCTTGACATTTTTCTGTTTTATAAAACTTTATATGCGACAGCTTACAGGTGAAAATTTGTCGTGAAAAACTTGTCAAATCTGTTTTATTAAACAGAAAATTGTCGTGACATGTTGACATACTTGTAGAATTGTCCAAAAATTTTGATAGGCGCGTTACCGTCTGTCGCGAAATCATATTTTGAATTTTGAAGGTGTAAAAAAGTGTATTGAAAAAGTTTATTACAAAAAATGGTACTTACATCGAGCAGTGAGAGTAGTGATGATGACTACTTGGAACAAATACAAACGAGGAGGCAACGACGATCATTTAAAAGCAGAATCAGAAAAAAATCGGGTATGTAAATCCGTAGAATATTTAATTGATAAAATTGCTCATCGACTTCAACACGATACAAGCAGAAACCAAGCACTTACACCCGATAAACAAATATGCTCTTTGCATTGGATGGGTTGTGGTTCACAGTACCATGTTATTGGTGATGCACATGCGCTTAGTAAAACAACCGTACATAATTGCATAAGAAGGGTATGTGGACCCGTGATTAGTGAATTACTCTGAGAAGAGGTTCCTTCCATTTATTTATTTTTACATCGTGGGTCAATTGGTCACTAAACTTCCCAAACAGTATATTTTCACTTTCGTAAATAAGGCCCAAAATGGTAAGTTTTCTATGCATTTCCATCTTATACGCGATCATAACACAATCGAAGTTGCACTAGTGATTGTTTTATTCTTGTACTTTGATAATATCTTTTTCAATTTTACCCTCATCCGGCTTCATAAAACAAAATTTGCGTAGAGACCCTTTGGTCTAGCTGG